GCGAAACCAGCCGATCGTCGGACGTTGACCGAGTACCGACCTCAAGGCACTTGTGGTGACCCAACAAGGGGGCAGCGAGCTCCCAAGCACCGATAGATGGGCTCAGGAACTATACGAGTGGCTCGGTCAGGAAGCCGAGGATCTCCCCTCTAGGGGACATGACTAGGGCACGCAACAACCGTAAACCTAGGGTTCTCGTGGACTCACCTGCTAGCAGCACAGGCACGGCAATCTTGGCCACCGAGGCCATTGTCATAACAGCCCATCCCAATGAGGGACCTAAGTCTCAGAGCATGACTCGTGAGCAATGAGATTACAAATGAAAGTAATTTCATTTCATTACTTGGGAACGACCCGATTACAATATAAAATGGCAAAAACTACTGGATTTACAAAGTGCCAGCGCCGTGGCCGGCCCTCGACAAAGACTCGTCGGTGACCGGCATGCAAGTGACCTGACCTCCCCCCTCTCAAGGTCAGCACGCCAGACAAGGGAGGAGGTCAAGGCTCCTAGCCAAGAGCTTGGCGAGCCACCAGCAGGAGGGTCGGAGCACATAGAGAAGAGGCGGAGATCTCCCAGCTGCAGCTTGGAGATTGGCCCGACCTCAGCTGCCCGAGAACTTCGAAGATCATAGCATCCGGCCCGACCACAAGCTCGGTCGGACGGTCGAGGGCCCACGAGTGGCAATATGGAGCTCGGGAACCCCCGAGCCCCATAGGCACCTAGAAGCCTGCTGGCGTTGCCGTGTCGCCCCCATGCGCCTGCTATTGGTGGTCCTGAACTCACACTTTTAGCCGCCAACATCTATATAAAAACAACTCAAATGGGCACCAAACTTAGAATGAGGGGTTACAACTCACAAAGTTCCACTAGTTTTGGTGAATTACCTTTTGTAGGGTTACTTATATAAAAAGCATAGAAATATGACCAAGAATACACAATCACGCAAAGCGCATTTCCATCCTTCACATAGCAAAAGAGGAGAAGGTCAACTTACCTCACAAACCTGGGCCTAACACCCACATGGCTATGCCCTAGGCCCATCAAGCAACCGCCCCCGTGAAGGCGGTGCGCCTACACCCCCCTACCGCCTATCAGGCCCACCCTTCGAGAGGTGGTATATTGATTGCACCTGAGGTCGGTTGCAGTGGGGGTTACCAAAAATACGCAGCAAACTAACCTTGGTGAAGCTATATAAGCAAGGGGAGGCCTCCTCATTTCACAACAACACACCAAGGGAGAGAGCACCACACTTGAGCATCACTCCAAGGCTTAGGCCATAGCTAGTAGACTTGGTTTGAAAGAGATGAGAGGGAGAGTACGGGGAAGAGCCGGACTTGTCGGTGTCTCCCCAACTTGTACCTCGACGAACACGAGCCTTGTATCTCAACGGGTATCTTAGTAAGTGTTTGTGATTCTTATGATCACAAGTCTTTTGATTAGTTAAGCTATACTCATATTTGCTTGTGGGTTCATCGTTCGTTCCCATGGTGGATGCTCTAGTAGAGGGCCCTGATAAAGACGGATAACCCTACGTGGACGCTAGAGTAGTAGTCGATAGCGGAGACATGGTGTCTAGGCTAGAGGCTACCTTCATTTGCCTCATACTCCATGGTTGAGGGGCAGGCGGCAGGTGGTGATAGCCCTGTCCGTTCCTCGTAATCCCCCATGTCTGGGTACGGCATAGAGCTAGAGGCCGGTATCGCTTGGCAGACCAGGTGTAAGAGGTGCCCGAAGTAAGCAAGGAGTAGAGTTTATCTATTCTTAGACCCTAAGCCATATGAATCATTCTCTACCTTTATCAGCTATCCTTGTGTTGTCCTTGGATGAATTAACTAGAAGAAATACCTCTGTTCCTAGTGGAAATACGATACCCTAAATACTTCCAGGTGAAAGCTACAATGGTAATTTTGTACGCTTGCGGATTAATTTCTATAGACGTAAAGAAATACCAACAGTGTCAGAACAGGCCAGCCAGACGATGCCTAGGGCTTCTTTGGCTCCACGATATTGCCACGGTCTGTATAGCATCATTGCAAGACCCTCCTGGACTCCGGCGCATGTAGACCATAGGCTCAACCCTTCAAACCGCCATGTACCCGACCTATCTCAATATATAAGGGGTTAGGTCGGATTCTAGAGGGGGAGGACAAGCCCAGATAGATCATTCCATTCCTCATCGATCCGCTCCTGCTCAGCACCGAGAGTAGGGCAATCCAAAGAGGGGCATCGAGAGCTCCTCCACCGCACCCATCGTCTTCCTCCTCTCTAATGAGGGGAAGGGTCCACCAGCGATGAGGTAACCTCAGGATTAGCACCGAGCTAACCCCCTACCAAATCACTCTCTATCTCCTGTACACTCTGTTGTAACCCTCCGATTTTGGGTGCTCTTGAGTATAAGGATCATCAGTTGTTGGACGTAGGGCACCAATTGGCCCAAACCAGGATAAACCGTTGCGTCCTCTCTGTGATTCTTATGTTCTGGAGTCCACCCGAGCCACCAGAGACACGTACTCTGACACTGACTCGAACAACAATGCTTGCCACGGTTCCGACCCCGTGACAACTACCTATCATACACTCACCCAATGCACCTTCGCAGTTGAGTTCTAGAACAAGTTCTAAACTTTCACGGGGATTAAGCTGCAAAAGCTTTGTCCTAGGACATGGGCATGAGACCTGATGGATGACTCTGTATGTCCAGAGGGAGATAGAGTCATCATCATGTGTGCTATGTGGTCCCTTTGGCGAAGCAGGAATGACCGCCAACACGACAAGACGCCTATTGATCCAGGTGCAGCTATGGACTAGGCACTCGAGGCGTGCTATCAACCGCGGGGCGGTAAACAAAGAGATGTCGGGCGAGCAACGATGCTAAACATGCACTGGTGACCACCAGAGGAGGGCTCTCTAAAGATCAATGTTGATGGGGCTTACCTCTAGGAGTCAAACACAGGTGCAATAGGGGCGGTGTTGCGGGACAGCAATGGGATTTTTATGGCTGCATCAGCGCACTGGATGGATTCACTAGGCTCAGCTCTCCTTGCAGAAGCAGAGGCATTCAGAGATGGCGTGCTGCTCATACCACAATGTACCATGGAGCACATCTTAGTAGAGATTAATTCACATGCAAGAACTGGCCTTGCTGTGGAAGAATAGACGAACGAACCGATCAGAGATCTCTGTAATCCTGGAGGAAGTTGAGGAGATAGCTTCAAATTTCTCTTCTTTCCAGGTTATCCATACAAGAAGATCGGCGAATTTTGCAGCTCATTTGTGCGCCCAACATGCTACATCTTTGTTAGATAATTTTGTTTGGTCTTTACCTCCTAGCTTCTTGCAGCAATGTCTGCAATTTGACTATAATAACGCTGTTTATTGAATGAAGTGAGAGTTCCCCAAAAAATAACAAGTGCAATCAACTTTGCACATCAAGAACAGTAATATTGTGCTGTGTTGCCGGACAAGGAACAGTGGGCAGCAAAGACCTAGTCACGGCAACCGCAGTGGCTTGGGCTCTGTCAGGCCTGACACAGCCATTGGCAGGTCTTCGGCGTCTGGCACGGCCAGGCCAGACACAGTCGTGGCTAGTCCTGGGGCAGGCGTGTCCACGCTTGGAGCAGTCACGGCGAGGCCTAGGGCCAGCGCGGCCAAGCTCAGGGCCGGCGTGGCAACACCTAGGGCGGGCACGGCTAGGATGGCGTTGTGCGCGGCCATGGTGACGCGGACGCGGCCAGGGCAAGGGGGGCGACCGTCCAGGTCGTCGGGGCCTTCCATGGCCACCGCATCTCCGTCGAGGAAGGTCGAGAAGGGCGGCGCGCTTTGTATCGATCGGGGCTATGGCGGAGAAAGACCGAGCGGGCGTAACGAGCGCCCAGGGACAGGACAATTTCACAGAAGGGCAAATACGTCCATTCAATTGACAAATACATGAAAGAATACTAGAAAAGAGAGAAAATACACATAATGGAAAGAAAATCAAGTGTTTCATGTTTGGAGGCCTATTTTTGCGAAGTCGACGATACAAATGGTGAAACTGCGAAGCGCAACGATTAAAGTCCTAAATATGCACTTCGTTTAATCACCGCTATTATTCCACTGTTATCTTTAAGGACACTTTATTTCTACTAAATACCGTTATTTGGCTAGCTGTCAAAACTTTTTAGTATTGCTAACTCTGACAAAGAAAATATTCGTTTTTTTTACTTTATTACAAGACTATAGTCACCTTAATTATCGTTGTCTTCTTTACTTAATACAAATGATGTAATGAACCAATAAAATTATAGAGTTATTTATTGCTGAATGAATACAAATGTTGATTATATTCATTAGTACGTTAATTGATTGAATGACTAAAGTAATGAATACGTAGATATGTTCGCCTAGAGCGGTGAATATGTATTAGAGTTTTTGTGTTTATGAAATTTTCTTGTTTTCCAAATATTTGTACAGAATTGGTTCAAACTTTCTATGTTTCTTTAAAACCGTTAAATAAAATAACTTCTACTACGGACGTGTTTGGTTCAGATTCTACAAAGTGTTTCTGCTATAAAAAAACAGAACGCCAACTAAACGAGTGTCACGTGAAGGTGTTTTTTCAGAAACAACTACTATTGTGTAGTACAATTTTTACAGTAACTTGGACCGTAATTTCAGCTTTCTATTTCTCTAAACAGGTGGAAATAGAGAGGCATTTTATAGCCGTTTCAAAAGAGATAAAGAGAAGGGATAGATTTCATAGTTATTTAAAAGAAAAACAACTTATAACTTTTTTCATAACACATAACTCACAACAGCTTTATTTTTCACAGACATAGCTTACAACAGCTTTTTTCACAGCCCATAGCTCACAATAGCTTTTTCACGGCTTATAGATAAACCAAACAGATCATATACCGCACGTGCAACAACAAGCACCAAAGAAGAACAGGAGCACTCAATCGATAATATCGCACCACGTATACCTTCATCGAGCATAGGAACCGAGTATGTAGGTTCAGTTATTCGGCGCCAAAACGGATGCCGCCGCGCTCCGCCTCATCATGGTATACTTGATCAGCCTGCCGTAGTCTGGCAGGGCCACCTTGGCCGCGTCAAGCGAGGCGAAGCGCTCGGCCCAGGCCGCCAGGAGTGGGGTCCTGGCGGCGTCGAGGAACTTGATGTTGACGCCGAGGCTGCCGAACAGTGCCTCGGTTGCGCGCACCCACACGAGGAGGCCGCCCAGCGCGACATCCACGTACCCGACGCTGTCGCCGCCGAAGAAGGGTTTGCCCTTGGAGCATTGCGCCAGCGCGCCCTCCAAGGTCACCACCGCCGCGAGCATCTGCTTCACCAACTCGCTCATCTCCTCACGTGTCCTGGTGCCGTCAAGCAGTAGGACCCAGGGCTGCACCACCTGCATGCGCACGCAAGCAAAAACGTCATCAGTTGAGTCTGCAGCGTGCAGCCGGCGGTGCATGGAAACAATCTGCACGTACGCATCATCAGTTCAGAATATATATATATATATATATAGACACACACACTCAGCAGGACGGTAGGACGTCGATAAGATAACCTTGGTCTCGATAAAGGCGGCCCAGAACTGAGCGATGGCACGTTCGTAGGGGTCAGAGGGGAGGAGCGACGGCCCAGCGTCGGGGAATGCCTCCTCAAGATAGTTGACGATGATCATGGACTCGCATAGAACCTTGCCCTTGTGGAATAGCACGGGGACCTTCTTGTGGACGGGGTTGCTCTCAAGGAGGAGCTGGCTCTTGTTGTTGATGACGTCCTCCTCCTCCATGTACTCGTAGCTCAGGCCCTTGAGGTGGAGTGCAAGCATCACTCGGGATCCGAACGGGCTGAACCAAGTGTTGAGAAGCTTCAGCTCATCGCCTCCACCTGCCATTTCCTCCTTAGCTTCTTCCTGCGTGTTGATTTTTGCTGTATGTTGATGTGTTTGTTTCCTCGCCGTGTGAGTGTGATGTGATTCGAGCGACGACGTTCAAGCGAATAGTGGTATATATAGAGCTTGGCATGCATTGGTTACTCCGTCCGTCGTTTCAGGTTTGGAGCGACTTCGTTCTATGGGCAAACGTTGTTTAGAATATATAATCTTATGCGAATATCTGCCAATCTCTGAAAGGAATCATATATATCTTCTGGCAGATTAAGTAAACACGCGGCCGTAAGTGCCTGGTTCATGTGTTCCATTATGTTATCATGCAAGTTATTGATTGTGAATCGTGCAAACCACTACTGGTAGTACGTGGCGCATTGATTTGGTTTGGAATCATGGACACTGAAGGCCGGCCGGCTGGGCATACAGTATATATCCTTGATATTATGCTCCATATGTAGTAATTAAGAACAGTAGCATGCAGATGAGTGGTAGAGATAATTACTAGTATAGTTTTCTAATTGAAACAGAAATAGTGGCAAAATGAATAAGAAATGATATATTAATTACTAGTAGATCGTTGACCTGATTTGCTGATAGAGATCCGATTCAATCATTAAGTACTTACATTGATCCATACGAATAAGAGTCTCTAGATCATGCAAATTGCCGATTCTTAATCATGCATATTACTAGTAGATCGCTTGCTGATGCAAATTGAAGGCTGCCAGGGCATCCATCAGATCGATGCCGAACCCACGCCCTCTCCTCCGTGCCCAACCCAGGAAATATGGGATAGTTTCCGTACTTGCTAATTTAATATGAACACACCTGTGGAAACTATGCTTCCAATGAATAGTTTCTTCAAATAAAATGTTCATCCAATCATATATATCATCTCTCTCACAGCATCTACCAATAAAATATCTTTGTGTCTCGGTTTTCCTGTAGACATGGTTTCCCATATAAGAAACCATTTTCTTCTTGTTCTGCAACAACAACAGTGACACATCAGTGTTTTGCTTAGCTAGCATACTAATTAATAGCTATAGAAACCATCTAATTTTTGGGTTGGGATTGCCATGAGTGGAGGGTTTCATACAGTGCTACCAACCTAATTTTCACCAATGGCATTTTGACTGTCGGTTCTTCCAAAACTGACAGTGATAATGTTTCATAGCGGGTTGGACGTAGTGGTGCGAAAAAACTGGTGGTGAAAATTATTTTCACCTCCGGGTTGACATATGACCCTACAGCAAATACCATAGTGGTTATCACCACTAGATCATACGCCGACCCAATGGTACAGTGAAAACAGTTTTCACCATTGGTTTTTCGCCCACTACACCACGCACTTACAAATAGGCGATGGTAAAAATGTTCAATACCATTTTTGATGGTAGACAGGTGCAGTGGCCATTTGAGCTGGCAATGAAAATTGCTCACTGTCGGCTCGGTAGAAGATCTGGCGGTGAACCACTGGCTCACAGAGAAATTGAGTTCCACCTACTATGATCTAGCAATGAATACGGTTTTCACCACATGTTCGTCGTAAGATCCGGCGGTGAAAACCGCTAGGATCAAAAGTCCCTTTTCTCTCCTCGTCTTCATCACTCGCTCTAATTGTTTACCCGTGACTCCAACCCTTCCTTCACCATTCGTGTGTCTGTTTTTCACCAAGTTGCTTGTGGAGGCTCGCAATTCTCAAAGGGTGCACACCACTTCCTTGTTCTATGGTTTGTAACTGACAACCCTTTATATTTCTAGCTTGTTCCATGGCTTTACTCTCCAGTTTGGCAACTCCAGTGCCCACCAGAGATCTCCGTGAGCACATCTCTCGAACCATTTTCAAATGGCTAACTCCCAAATGGTGTCCAACAAGACCACCAACACCTTTAACACTGAGGTAGCATTTTCAAAATATTTTGTAAAGGTTTTCTCTTGCTTCCTTTCCATACCACTCGATCTAAATGAAGTTTCGAGTTAGATCTCAACTAGTGGCACTAGATAACCCATTAGCAAAAACTCATTTGCTCCTCTTAATAGTAAGGCTATCTATCCTAAACCCAGCCAAGTACTTCTCTACTCAACCTTAGGTCGGTGAAATGAAATGTCCTACGGGCATACCTTTGTCTTGCGCACATTTTCATTTCATCTCCATGTTGGTGATGCCTACGAGCATCCACTCTCCAACTCATCACCTTCCAATTATTGAACAGGTGTGTGTGGACCAACCATTGCCACTTGACTATTGTCCATGCAATGAAGCTCCTCCATCTTTTCTTTCATCAAGCCACTTGGCATCTACATTGCCAACATATTTGGCTCCTCATCTTCACTCTATTAAACCACTTGATATTTTCACTGTGCTTGATCTTCATGAATGATATGATCCACTCCATGGCTTCACATGGACTTCATAGTCCATTGACCTTAGCCAGCTTGCTCTTCTCCATTGTATTTGATGATACGACATCAACTGAGAGACGTGTCTCTGGTATGAGTCCCATCAGAGACGCACCATAATTCACCGGTGTCTCTAATTAGAGGAGTTCCCATCATAGACGGGATTAAACAACCAATGCCTCTAATGTGGATCCCATCACAGGCCCATCTCAATCAATTTGCATTTCTAATGAAATGGGATGCCGCCAAAGATGCGGTTAAACAGTATGCATCTTTGATGTGATCTTGAACAACCTCATTAGACACATAGGATTCACTGCACATCTTTGATTATTTGAACCCCATGTACGCATCTTCTAAAGTGCATCTCTGAAGTGGTCGACCTAGAGCGCCATTATTGTTCTTTCAACTCGCGTCATGTTGATCTTGTTCTAGTAGCACACGTGCGTTCTAGTGCTGCTGCCGCCCGCCTCATCACCTCAGCTATCTTGCTTGATCCATCTTTGTGGTTGCGCCCCACCTATCTCATGAGTTACCCTCCTCGACCTGCAGCACCCGCTCTAACCACGCAGAGCTATTGGAACATGTGGCACGGAGCCACCAATTGTGCCATGGCCACATAGCATTAGAATTTAGAAGGCAAGAGCTTCTGTGCGGTTGCCGGTCACATCTCAACCCTAGCTCCGCCATATCCAGATTCACTATTTGCATCACTGGATGCACTAAGGCATATGGCTCACCTCAGGTGAGAGTTGCATGCTGTGTAAATTCACTGCTTGCATGCCCAAGTTCTACCCAATCCAAGTTGCTTCATCTAAGAAAAAAGTTGGCAAGGTGTTTGGTTTGAGAAATAAGTAAGTCCATCATCTTCTCACACTTCGTCTTTTATTTGATTTTTGAAATGTAATGAGTTGATTCATCATCACATCATTCCTCATAAGCTAATATATAATTAATACTATTATGTACGAGAAATGGAGTCATTCCTCCAAATTTGAATAATAATAAACTTATGCTACACCACCTCATCTAATAGTATAAGAGTAATTCCTCAAATCAAACTCCCATACATGAGACCCATTTTGGGTGCCAGGAGAGGCATAACCTAAATCTAAATATCCTTTCTCCTGGAGACCCATTTATAAAAAGGGTTCTTTTTTGGGTCTTGTTATTGGAGAAAACAAAAAATGGGTATTAAACTCTTTGTCTGTAGCACTACCCAAACATAAAATGGATCTTTTATTTTAGGTGCCGCTATTGGAGATAGTCAAGTGCCTAGAAAATCATGCAGATCAGTAGTAGTGGCGCATTGGCTTGGTTTGGAATCGTGAACATTGAAGGCCGAGCTGGGCCTATATCCTCCATATGCTCCACGCGAGAGGAATCATATCTTTGAAGAAACAAATTAATATTAGTTTATTAATAGTGATTCATTTACAAATCAATTAAATGCACCGTAGATCCATTAACTTTGGTGGTGTGTCATCTAGGTCCATCAACTTTCAAACTGTATTTTTTGGTCGATTAACTTTTGATGGTGTGTCATCCAGGTCCATCAACTATCAAACTGCATTTTTTGGTCATTAACTTTTGGTGGTGTGTCATCCAAATCCATCAACTTTCAAATTGTATTTTTGGGTCCCTAAACTTTTTAACTGGTTCACCGTAGGTCCATACCCCTTTATTTAGCGAATAGATCGGACATGGCATGCCAAATAAGCAGACACCATGGAGTAGGTGATGAGTCCATAGCTCCTCAAGATGTTCATGAAGACTTGTCTAGCAATAATTCAAATATAGCAGCTGGTAATTCGTTAAAATCATCTGGTCTTAAATTTGGGACTATTATTTTTAAGGATAAATATAGTGTGGACATGGAGAAATTTACAATTGTTGGACTGTCATCAAAAATATTTTATAAATGTGCCTTATTATTGCGTGGAAAGGAGAAGAAAATGAAGCCAACAAAATACATCAGTACTAATTCTAAAGAGGTGGAGATCATTAATGAAATTTTCCCAACGTGATTAGCATCCTTACCGTAGTATTTTATTATTTTCATGCATTAGGTTCCTATCCAGTTGTGACACACGATCTTTTATCTAGCATCTAGCTTTTAGTGCCTACATGAGTTAAATTGGTGGCTACGTTTGGACGTACCGTGCATGTTAGCCGAATTAGGGACTCAGGGTCAATCGGTCCTAGTTGGGCTGGTGGAGTATGAGTTTTATTTGGGTCAGGTGGCCTGTGTACCTATATCTATGGCCTTCGGCCTTGTACCGGGTAGATTAGACTGGATTTTATTGTGGAGTTTATTCCCCATCGAGCCACTGCTCGAGAAACCCTAGATGGTGATCCCATCAGGTTCTTCGTATTGAAGATTATCTCCGAATGGTGATCTCGTCCTGTGCTCCACGGTGGCTGCTTTTTTGGCGTGCCATGTCAGATCTATTCACTAAACAAAGGGGTATGGACCTATGGTGAACTAGTTAAAAAGTTTAGGGACCTAAAAATGCAATTTAAAAGTTGATGGATCTGGACGACACATCACCAAAAGTTAATGACTCAAAAATACAGTTTGAAAGTTGATGGACCTAGATGAT